CGTGCCCAGGAGGCGCATGACCTCGTACTTGTCGACGATGGGGCTCGTCGCCTCGCCGCTGACCAGCGCCGCGAGGAACGACGCCTTGACGTAGGCCGCCTCGTCGACGCCGGGCGGCACGCGGTCCCGGAGCAGCTCGAGCAGGAACGCCTCGTCGTCCTCGGGCGCCTTGAGCTGCTCGACGAGCTGCGCGCACTGCGCCGCGTCCAGGGGCTTCGGCACGATGCCCTCGGCCTTGCGCGTCTCGACGTGCGCCTGCGGGGGGGGGGAAGGCGCGCGGTCGCGGAAAGGAGCCAAATCGACGGGCGTCGCCGTTTCGCTTCGCGGGGCCGGCGGACGCGGAATTCGCACCAAATATTCGTCGCGGAAGGCGCTGAGGTAGCGGGCGCGCGGCGCGTTGCGGCCCACGGCGCGCGACACCGCGCGGGTGATGCTGAAAGAGCGGCGCATCCTGGCAGCAGGTTCCCAAATTCGACCGTCTTTCTCGATGGCGAGCGGGGCGATGGGCCCGCCGCCACGGCAACGTAGCCGACGCGCGCCGAAGTTGCCTCCAACGCGATGGACGTCGATGGGCAGCCTCGCGCGCTCTAGCCGCGCTGAGAGAAACACGCCCGCCTCGGCGTCACCCATGGACCACCACGAGGCCTCGGCGTCGCCCATGGACCACCACGAGGCCTCGGCGTCGCCCATGGACAAACACGCCGCGCTCGTCGCCCTCGAGCACACCGCAAACGACGCGAGCACCTCGGCGTTGGAACGTCGACGAGCCGAGGCCCAGCTCACCAAAGCCCTGAAGCGCTGGGCGTCGTCGCCGCGCGACGCCCTGAACCTCGAAGGCGACGCCCCGCTCGCGGCCGCCGCGCTGCAGAGAGCCTACCTCGGCCTCGCGCGGCGCTGCCACCCGGACAAGGGCGGCTCGCACCGCGTCTTCCTCGCGGTCAAGGCCGCGCGCGACGCCCTCGCGGACGACGCCGACGGGCCGATGGAGCCCGTGCGGCCCGGCTCGGAGGACGCGCGCTACTTCGCCGACGACCCGCTCTTCGGCGCCGTCCACGACGACGCGGGCTACGAGTCGAGGTTCTGGAGCGACGACGTCGCGAGCGGCGCGGGCACGCGGGACCGCGCCGCCATGTGGACGCTACGACGCGGAGTTTGACGCGCGGCGGCGCGCGGGCGCCGACGCGGCCGCGCGGCCCCTCGGCGTCAGCTAGTAGCGCGCGCTCGGTTGTAGTAGCTCCCACTAAAGACAAAGGTGCGGGTGAGTGTTGCTGTAAAAAAGAGCTCCGGTCCCGCGGGTCTGGTTGGAGAAGAGGGAGTGGGGCACAGGTCGGGTCCGCCGCCGCGGCGCGCGGGCCGCGCGCCGCCGCGGCCGGGGCCGCCGCGTCAGGCGTAGCCCGTGCAGCCGCAGTCCGAGTAGCCGCACTCGCCCTGGGGCTCCGGGAGCTGCTTGTCGCCCTTCTTCCCGGGCACCGTGCCGGAGATGATGACGGACTCGCGCGCGGACGCGCGGCGTTTCCAGCTCAGGCGGTCCGCCTTGACCTGTGACAAAAACGGCGTCCCGGGGCGCGCCGCGCAAGTTCTTCCGACGAGCGATGGCCCCAGAACCGCGCCCGCCGCGCGCGCGAAACGCGCGCCCCGCGGCGTCGCGTCCCGCGCCGGCGACGCGCGCCCTTGTTCTGCGCGTACTTCGACATGACCTCCTTCATGGGCGTGCCCTTCCGCACTCGCATGACCGTGATCTCGCCCGTCTGCGGCGCGGCGGGCGTGCGCGCGCGCGGGGCACGGGCGGGGGGGGGGGGGGGGACCTTTTTGTTGTGCGCGCGGACGGGGATCATGCCGTCGTCGTCGTCGCCGTTTTGGCTCTGGGGGCTCGACAGGTCCGTCTTCTCGACGTCCCGCAGGGTGAGGGAGCTCAACCGCTGGCCGACGTCGTCCCCGCCCATGCCCGGTCGCATGACGAAACCCGGGGCCGACGACCCGGAGGCGACGGAGTCCGCGTCCCGCACGGAAAAGTCGGGGTTCGTCCCCGTCTCGCTCGGCGTCTGGGCCGTACTGCCCTCGCCGCCGAAGCCGGACATGGTCTCAAAAAGCGTCGGGGCGCCGGGCCCGTCGCGACCGAGGGAGCGCCCGACCACTCCCAGCCGCGT